AAAGGCAAGGTTTTAAATATCGGTTATCGGGGATTTATCGGACGGCCAAAATCCTTATCGGATAGCGGAAATCGGGGATATATCGGGGATAAGTAGTATTTATCGTAGTGATATACTAAATGATGTGTATATATAATATACCAATTAAAAAATGTAATCTAATCATGCTTAATGAAATATAAACATACCAAAATGTAAATCATCATGTTTAGAATCATTAACTAACTGTAGAAAGCGAAACTTGCATCATAGCCTTGAAAAAATATAATGTTAGTCCAAATTGGCCGATAATCCCGATAATCCCGATAAAAAAGTCTTACTTATCGGCCGATAAGTGCCGATAACGCCGATAAATCGCCGATAAACCTAGAAAAACGATAACCGATTAAAAATCCAATTTATCCTAGCGGAGAGCTCCCAAATCCGATAACTCGGCCGATAATATCGATTATCGGCCGATATTTAAAACAGTGGTAAAAGGTTGTCATTGTGAAATATTAAGTTTCAGGGTTTTATTAGATTTGCACATTCCAATAGGATGACATTAAAAATAACTATTTCAGATAGCAGAACACGGAATGAAACTGAAGCAATTATTTCATTACACAAGGACTAGCTAAATGGTTTAAATTCCGAGACTTGGCTGAAATACTAATTGCTTTGCAACAGCATTAATAGGAAAACTGGTTCCCTTCTATGCCTTTTTTAAGTAACTGAAAATGCATAAGCATAAGGCTCTAACTAATATTACGTTTCAAAAACATCATGCAAAAGTTTATTCAGATTTACAGTAAAAATGTGATTAGCTTTTAGATATTTGTGAGTCTTAATGGGAAAGCTCCTATGATTTTAAATTTTTTTCTGTAGAAGTTAAGAAGATTTTCATTTTATATCCTCCAAGTAATATATTTTAGTATCTTAAAGTTTCGACATAATTGAAATTTAACTGATCATGTTTTACCATTGTATTCTTGCTTCCTTCTTTTATTGAAAAGGACTGTTGTATGTTCTGATATTTTTAAGTGCATTATTTAGGCAAGAGACTTCAACCCAGATTCTCTGAGGAGACAACTGCCAAAAGCCGTTTCTTCACTGGAATGGGCAATTTCTGAGGGGAAAGGAAGAGCTTATGTTCACTGTACTGCTGGCCTGGGAAGAGCACCTGCAGTTGCAATAACTTATCTGTTTTGGTTTTGCAATATGGATGTAAGTTGAGTTCCTATGTGTTTTTCCTATTGTTTAGTTACAAGGACTATTTCTTTAATAAATATTTGTTCATCGTAGACAGAAATATTCAAGGATGAAATGGCCTCCCTATTACAATGGAAGGCACAATTGCACAATTGTTTTCATAGGTTATATAAAATTTCAACTTTTCACAACGGGCCCCATACCTATAAATAGCAATTAAGGAATAACTAAGATGTCTCCAAGAGAAAAAGCCACAAATCAAGTCATTTGCCATTTACAAGCAAGAGATCCCTTCCCTTCCAATTGGGGGTTTTCTCTTTCGAGAACATTTTAGCTCATTAAATAGGAGGGTCTGTTCAGAAAAGTTGAAGCTTGGGGGTTATGTGAGACACCC